AGATCCTGGCTATGTTTGTTCTCTGGGACTCAAATGCCTTCGAGATAGGCAGCTGTTTATAGGGAAATGTTCACCACAATAAATAACTTGGAGTGAGGACATGCTCTTTAATGCTTCTCACATAAAATTTCTAATTGCTCAAAGAACTAGACTTTAAGCAACTTAAGCAAAACTAACCCCTTGATCAACATTGCAGGTAGTCTTCTGCCCAAATGCTTATCAGCAATGGTTTGCATGAATTTAACACACAGACTCTCGGCTCACTCTGTTGACCCCCATTCACTGGCATGTTGGGTACCCAGAGCAAGGTTATTTCTGTCCCTCAGGGTTCTAGAAGTAGCCCTGAGGGATTGGTGGTATTTTTTTCTAATACTATTGCTCATGACCCTCTATCTCATTTGTTCCCCTTCCCCCATATTATTCATCAAGTTACTCTCTTCCCAAATAGTTACCATCTTCCCCAATATTAATTGCTAGTTGATTTTTCAATATCAATGATCTAATTAATATTAATTAATAATTTAAAAGGGATATTTACTGAAAAGTTACAGAAAGAACCTAAGTACAAAAACCTCTGAAACCGGGATTGAATTCTCTTCTACTTTGGTCCCTAGGGAGAATAGGCCCACAATTAAAGTGGTTGTTACAAACATTCCTCAGTGCCATGTTATGTGCTCCATGCCTTACAATTATTATCTCATTTGATCCTCACTGCAACCCTGGGAGGTAGCTGCTATTATTACCCACATTTTACAGGTGAGGAAACTCAGTAAAACAGAGGTTTAAGTGACTTGTTCAGGATCACACAGCTAGTTAGCGTCTGAGACCAGATTTGAACTCAGATATTTCTGACTCCAGGGCTGATACTCTATCCACTTTGCCACAAAGTAATTGAGGAAGAGAGCACTAATAATTTGGGGGGATCAGAACAGGCTTCTTGTAAGAGATGGCTTTTGAGCTAACCTTGAACCAAAATAGAAGTCACAAGAGGTAACAGTGAGAAGTACATCCATTTTAGGCATGGGGGACAGCCTAGGCCTAGGTAGGGAATGTTGTATGCGTGGAACAGCAAAAAAGTCACTATTATGTATGAAGTAGAGTAATATGTAATAAGACTGAAAAGGCAGGCTGGAGTCAGATTGTGAGGGGCTTTCAATGTCAAAAGATGATTTTATATTTTATCTTAAAGGCACTAGGATGCCATCAGAACTTCTTAAGCAGGGTAGTGACATAGATGTTAAAATATTTCTGGGGCAGCTAGGTGGCGCAGTGAATACAGCACCGGCCCTGAGGTCAGGAGGACCTGAGTTCAAATCCTGCCTCAGACACCCTCGATACGTTGTTTAACTGCTGTCTGTCTTGGGCTGTAAAATGAGAATAAAAATAGCATCTATTTCCTAGGGCATTGTGAGGATCAAATGAGATATTTGTAAAGTGCTTGGCACAGTGCTGGGAACATAGTAAGTGCTTAATAAATGCTTATTCCCTGCCCACCTCCCTCTCTCCCACAATTCCGGTGGCAGGAATCAAACCCACATTTTTTGATTCCAAATCCAGCATTCTTTCCGCTGTGAAACATTTTGTATTTATAAAGTGTCATTTTAAATCTCAAAGTAATGTATGTCACTAAATGATTCTCTGTACCTTCCCATGAGGTAGCAAGGTAGACGGATAGACATTCCTTTAGGATTCCTGCATGGGTGTAAATATAGTTGGTTATTCCATAGTGCCCTTTTCTGGCCACCACTCCCCTACGTGTGTTGTCTCATCCTATTAGAATGTAAACTCTTTGAGAATAGGGACAATATTTGCTTTTTTATTTATGTCTACAGGTGTTAGCACAGTGCTTGATATATAGTAAGCACTTAATGAACGCTTTTTTATTCATTCATTCATTTGGAATAGAAATGAATAGAATTATAATTCAATACAAATATAGTATAAGACAATAAGACAAGGCCAGGGTGACTTTAATGCTTAACTCATTAACTGAACTCATTAACTGCTTACGTTCATTTTGCTCCTGGTGATGAAGTTGTGTTTATACATCCATAAGGTTCCACGACCCTTGGATTCATGTTTACCCTGCTTTTTTTTTTTTTAATGAGTTCTCCATTTTGTAAGTGATTGTTGGTTACAAACTACCAGGTTTGGGTGTGTCTTCAAAGTTTAAATATATCTTTGAATTAGCTTTGAACTTGCCCATCTTCATCAGTTCATCCCTGGCCTAGATAATTTTCTTCCTTCTTCCCTCTGGCTGTGCACAGCTGAATTCACTGGGCATAATGCCATTAAAAATGTGTTTACTGTGCTACAACAAACCATATGGTGCTTTTGAAAGGGCTTTTATAATTATGTTTTTAAGAATTCAGGGAGAACCCAAACTCTTCCTCTTTAAATGATTAAATTAGATGTTTGCTTTTTAATTATAGCAACTGATACCCCAAAGGAGATCTCAATTCAGGTGTAAACATGGAAGGAAATCAAGATTTGGGATGGAATATGAATTTAATGTACAGAGAAGCAAAAAGGGCATCTGTTTTGATAACAGCCAATGGCTTAATCAACTTTCCCAAAAGGACAATTCAAGATCTATAAAATTTTGTAAATAATACATATTGCTGTAAGTTTTGCAAAGCACTTTACAAATATTATCTCTTTCTATCCTTTCAGCAAACTTGGAAGATAGGTGCCATTATTATACCCATTTTATAGATGAGGAAATGGAGGCAAACAGAGGTTAAATGATTTGTCCAGGGTCACACAGTAAGCGTCTGAGGCTGGATTTGAATTCAGGTCTTTCTGACTCTAGTCCCAGCACTTTATCCACTATGATGATATATTTTCAGATATGGAAGAAATTTCAGAACTGTGTACTTACTTTTTTCAGCAACCTATATGCACTTTTAAAGTGTCCAGGTTCTAACAAGTACAAAATATCTTCATTTTGATTCAATTTATTCATTTTTCAAAAAATGAGGCAATTCAATGTAATTTTGAAATATTTGAACAAAATCTGAACAATGATTTTGAACACCAAATGAAGTGGTGCCCTACTTAAAAAAATCTCTATAAAAGATCAAATTAGGGGATGAATTTTCACACAGCTCCTTTAAATGAAATATTGTAAACTCCCTAAGTAAAGTTAAAATATGACTTCCTATGCTTTAATCTTCCTGGGATCTGTGATTTCATTGGTGTGAGTGCTCTTTCCATTAAAGTCCATCATTAGGCTTCTGCTTCTTGGTTGATTGCCTTTATGATTCAATTGAAGGTTAGTTTCCTGATGATTTACTCATCTACATTTAACCAGGTTGGTCTTCACACAACAGACCCACACACTGTTTCTAGGACCGTACTAAAAGCCTGATGGTAACACGTTAGTGGTTTTCAAAACTTTTTTTTTTTAATTTTTGTGGCACATTGAACTATTAACTTGGTAACATTCTGAAAGTCAGCTGAGTACACAAGCTCAAACTGAGAATGGAAATTTCTCTTCAATGAGGGCAGCTGTCTTTGTTGAACTGTTTGTAAGTTCAAAGTTGAATGTGTTTTTAATTTAGTAGGAATAGGTGCTGAACCTGTAATTTTGTTCATACAGGAAGTCCCAGATGAGGAAATGCCCTTTATCAGTGCTGGTTGGTACCTTCTCACCTTAGAGGAGTCTTAGAGCAGGGGTTCTTAAACTGCTTTGGTGTCATGGACCCCTTTGGCATTCTAGTGAAGTTTATGGACCCCTTCTCAGAATTATGTTTTTAAACACAGGGAACAATTATATTGAAATATAGTTACTGAAACATTTTTTTAAAAAAAGTATATAACCTAAGAACTCTCGTCTTTGAAAATTACTTAGAGCCTTAGAGGTAAAGTGATTTGCTCAAGGACATATAGCTAGTATGTGAAAGTGGTAGAACTTGAACTCAGGTCTTCCTGGCTGAGACCAGCTCATTCCACTATGCCAACGCTGCCTCTACATAAGTTGCCTTATAACAGGCAAGTTTTGTTTATTTTGTTGATAACAGACTTACTATACTTCGTATGCTGGCTAAGTAAAATTTATGTTATATTCATATATGTTTCTATATCTGAATTGCATGTAACAGAATCCCCTGCTCCTGTACAAATATCTGAGGTAACATGTATATTAGGTAGAGGAAGCCCTTATTTCATACCACATAAAATGCAGCTGGTCACAGCCACCAGTCAATTGAACTTATGGAAACCTCATTCTTAATCAGCAGTTGTCCTTGTTATTTCAACAAGGTACCAAGGCAGCAGAAGTGACAGCCAAGGTAGCTCTGGGACATTGAATGGCTCTGGAGGGTGGAACTTTGATGACATAAAGATGACTTCAGGACAGAGCAGCAGTACAGAGGTAGAGCTAGTGTGATTGACACCACAGAGCCAGGGTCTTGTCTAGTGACCTGGAGGGACAGGAAGCTGCAGGAAAGGTTTTCCAGCAGCAATTCAGATTGTCCCTCCCTCTAGCCTCCCAGGAGGCCTCAGATGAGAAGGCAAAGAGCTGGGGCAGAATTGTTCTAGCAACAACACAAGGCAGCTCTCCTTCAGTGATCTCCCCTACGGTTGTCTTCTTCCCACAAACAAAGATTTTCCTATTATTTATTCATTTTTACTATGTTTCATTAAATGCTTTATCAGATGATAAGGCTTTCACTGAATAGGGCTTCAGTGAAATACACTTCCCTATCCTGAGGCACAGGGCAAGGCCTGGTGACAGAGAACACATTCCTCTGTTGCTTTAGTTTTACACTAACAAAATAATGTTGAGTTACCTTGTTTCTTCTTGTGGGACATCCCTTCTACCTTCTCTGACCATTCATTCAGTTCCTATTTTTAGAGCTTGAGCAACATGTTTTTCTATGACCAAATTAGATATAATTGTTTTTTTTTGCTACTTCTTACAAATATTACTAATGCCCTGCTATAAAGTAAGCAAGCAAACAAATTTTTAAAAAGTAATTCATTTATTTATTCATTCATCAAACATTTATTTTAGAAAACTATATTAGGGATAGGGAGAGATGCAAGATTTAGAAAAGGCACTGTTTCTACTCTTATGGGTCTTACAGCCTAGTACAGATATAAGATGCAAACACAGAACTGAATTGCTGGTTCCATACAGATTCATTTGTAGGCATCTGATAAGAGAGAACAGATAATTGTAAAAAAAGTTATTTTCTAATTTACTTCTCATTTTTCTCTTCCACCTCTTGATAAATTACCAAAGTAGTTCAAAGGTTCTCTGGCTAAAGAAACAAACTTATTGGAGTCTCTATTGTTTGAAGTTAAAAAGAGATACTGGATAATTCAAATCCCTTTTAATTCAAAGTTAATTTTTTGGGGGGGGTCTTGATCTCAAATTAATGACCTTTAATCATCACAAAGTACCCTAGCTTGCTCACGCTTTGCTTTATTGAATCAAACTTTCCATAAGAAGTATGTGTTGATGACTTCTATAATTTTTCAGTGGACTTTGAAATTACTGAATGACAGATGACATGATTCTTAACCTCTCGAAACAGATACTTCTACCTTGAGGCTTTCCTAGTATGGTTAGTAGTATTCAGCTAGTCTAACACAGTTATCCTTAGCTTCATGGAATAGATGTGCTATGGAAAAACTGTCTATAAAACATCTTTCTATGAATGAATTCTATAAGAATAAATTCTTATTTTTTCCCACTGTTTACTGTTAGGAAAATCAGGCATAAGATTCTCCAGTTGAGAACCTCTGGTGGAGAAGAGTTGACCAGCCCTGCGGTATGTTGGGCAAGATAATGTACTGGTACTGACCATTGTGAAGCTTCTGAAGTACTTTCTCAGCTCCAGGATTTCACTTCCAGCCATGAAATGTTTTATACACTAATAGTTAGCACCATCATGTGATTTTGGGGAAAATCTTTGGGACTCACCAGTTCTTGGTGATTGTTTAATTCCTTATTGGAAATAATCTATAATGTTGAATACTAATTAAGTCATGAGAGGCAGCATGGGATAGTGGAGAGGGAGCAGACCTCCAAGCCAGGAAGACATAGTGTGACCCTGGCCAAGTCATTAAACTCAGTGTCCCAAGCAATTCTCTAAGACTATGAGTTGCAGAGAAGGTTCCAATCTACAATGGCAGAGGAAGTTACTCTATCTACCAGTGAAGTCACAAATCTAGTCTGCATCTCTAGCCTAAAGAAGTCATGTAAAAAAAAAAAAAAGTAAACCGTCTTTGAATTGAAGCATTTCAGTGGAAATAAAAATGCTCTTTCAAAGTTTCCTAAGTTCAGACTGACTAAATGTATTTTCAAAACAAATTACTGTTAACTATTCACTATGTGGCTGCAACACAAGAAATTTCAATCTCACATGAAAATTCTTAAGAACTTCCAAGCAACTAAAAAAAAGGAGTTTGGAATGTAATCTAATTGCAATAAAATGACAACAAAAAACAAGTTTGCAGTCAGTCATTTTATAAAAAAAATCATAATGGTGCATTGTAATTTTTGGCAGTCACTAAAAGACCTTTCAGGAATATAACATCCATGATTAAATCTCTAACAAAGCATGGGTATAATATCATCACCAATTTCTTCTTTGTGAAATACAAAAGTTGACAGTGAAAATCCATGAGTACAATGATACTTTTTTTTGCTCCCTTCATAAAGATTCCTTTATAAGTTCAGCCAGTCTCTGAAAAGCCTAAAGTGAAAAAATGAAGAGATTGTTAGAGGAGAGAGCGCTGTCATAACTTTGTAAGTTCAACAAGGAATTTTCTTTCCCTTTCCTTGTCTTCCCTTCCCTTCCTTTCCCTTGTCTTCCTTTCTCGTCCTTTCTTTTCCCTTCTCTTTCATTGCCTTCCCTACCATTCACTTCCCTTCCCATTTTTGGTATTATTTGGATACTAGGTGGCACACAGGACTTAGGAAGACCTGAATTAGTAAGTGTGTGACACTGGATAACACTTAACTTCTCTTAGCCTCAGTTTCTGCTTCTGTAAAACACACACACACACACACACACACACACACACACACACGCACACACACATATGCACAGACACTCAATGGGGGTCGGGGGGAGGGAGGGAGAGAATCCCTCCATGCACTACATTTGTAGAGGGGAATGACAGGTGTCTTGAGTTCCTCTACTCTGACCAAGCACCTCATGGGTAGAGTGTCCTTTGGGGAGCAACTGATTTTAGTCAGTTACAGCTATTGAAATAGCAACAAAGGTTACTGGACATACAATCTGTACTGACCTCCATATTCAATGCCTTTCTAGCTTAGCAGGTTGGCCAGAACCAGTCTGCTGCTGTAGCCCTCAGGAACTCAGGGCCACCTTGACACCATGAAGAAGCATTGGAAGAGGACTTTAGTGGACAATATATCTAATGTTTTCTGATCTTCTCCCCAGACCAGTGTAACAAAGAAGTGCTATGTGGATGTTTCATGTTATTCATACCAGTATTTTCATCAACCAGTATTTTTATTTCATCAGAAAACTAAGAAAATATCTAATTAGGCTATAAGTCCAAACACATTTATAAGAAATAGGGCTGACACAGATCTGTTGACCATTGGGCAGAGATTAGTAACCTTTTTGTGTGTGTCATGGACCCCTTTGGCAGTCTGGGGAAATCTACGGATTCCTTCTCAAAAGAATCTTTGTTGGCTATTCCCAGTAGCACTTTCTATTTGATTTGGAGATGAAACCTTCCATATACGTTGTCTCCCCTGTTAATTAGGATATGAGCTCCTGAAGGGACTCCTTACTTATCTATTTGTATCCCCAGTGCTTAGCACAGTGTTTTGTGCATATTAAATACTTATTAAATGTTTTTTCATTTTTTTATTCATATATTCAAAATGGAGGAAATGCTAAATTTTGGTTTAGAGGTTAGTGAAAATAAAAGATATAATTTTTTCCCCTGAAATCCCCTGAAATCTATCCATGGATCCCTTGGGAGGGGGTCCCCAGGTTAAGAATCCTTGACTACTAAATAAACTATATTCACCTGATCCATTTGTTCTGGAGAAGACAGAGAAAAGGAAGCTCTGACGTAAGAACTAGGCTTTGAGTTATCAATGCTGAATGCATCCCCAGGAACAAGTAATACCTAAAAGAGCAATCTATGTTAATTAAAATGATTCAACTGAGTATGACCTTTTAAAAAGGGTTCTATTAGAAAAGCAACATTTTGGAGAAGATTAAAAGGGAAATTGAAGCATCTGAGGGATAGCAGTCTGACCTCAAATACTTAGACCCCTGAAGCCCAAAGTTTAAATATAACTTAAAGTTATGAAAAAATGTCCAAAAACAAGTCATATTAGAAATTACTATGATCAATGAAAGCATTTATTAAATGCCCAGCTGCAAGTCATGCTGTGCTAGATAGCACGTGAAAGGTGCCTTCCCTTCAGAATTTGTGATCTAAAATAAATACTGAAATTTACAGTTATCATTGGGACATCAAGGTGAATATCAACAATTAAGTGGCTAAATACACTGATGAAAGAAGTACTCCTACTGGGTGAATGTACAAACAGGGGGTTAAAGGGGTCTTTTCTCTTCCAGGTAAATGATGAGGTGGGAACATTTCACAAACTGTTAGAGTGACCAGAAGAAGTTTGAATTGGAATGAGTTAGTTGCTCCACATTTAAGCTGTAATTTGGGCAGACTTGGAGGAGGAAGTGGGATGAGTAGATGAAAACGCATTAAGCAAATTGGGCCGAGTGAAGAGGGACCAACCCATACTACTCTAGAAAGAATATTCTACATTGCATGTCACCACTTTATGCCCTCCCATTCTTTATTCAATTTGGCTTCCATAACAATGAAATTAGTGCAATGTACTGGAGAGCATGATGGACTTACAGTCAGAAAGACCAGAGTTCGAAACCCACCTTTGATATTTACTAGCTATCTGGTCATGGGAAAATCACTGAACATCTTTCACATCTGAACATCTCTCAGGTGCCTCACCTGTAAAAATGAAGTTGTATCTGATGTCCTAACTCTGAATTTACATTTTATGATCTACCAATAATCAACCAATAGTCAAATCCAACTATCATTGCCCGTGAGCTCTCTGCTTCATGTGGCACCATTCAACATCTCTTCCTTCTTCAAACTGTAGCTCCTTGGTTTCCATGACGCTACATTATCCTGGTTCTCCTAATGGTACCTCCTCATTTGTCTCCTTCCCTCTGTACCTACTCTTTGTTCTTTCATTTCCTAAAGGATCAAAGATCGTGGACTTAGACCTTAAAAGGTGCCCCCCCCAAGATCATCAAGTCCAACTTCTTTCTTTTATATTTGGTGAAACCAAAGTCTAGAGATGAGACTTGCTAAGGGTCATACTAGTAAATGTCCAAGGTAGGATTTGAACCCAGGTCTTTCTGACTATGTCTAGTACTCTATATACTTCCCCACATGCCTCTCAAAGCACTTAATAATATGACTGAGCAATAACTGTTTTAGGATTTACAACTATAAAGTTAGCAAAAATGGGAAATTTTACAGTCACTTAAGTAAAGGATTTAAATTTTTTGTTAAGATTATTATTATTATTTTTACCTCTTTTTGCAAGGCCTTTTCTATAACTAGCTGTTTTGTATCAGAAACACCTTTAATCTTAATCCACAAAAACATCCCAGCAGCGGGGACATGCCATTCTGCCAAACCTAGAAATAAAAGAGAGAGGTTAAACGCCTTTCATCATCCTCCGCAGTGATGGTATCAGGGAAACTGCTTGATGGTACTTAGCTAATTCACATGTATTTTGTTTCCCAAAGCTTTCCCCCCAAATACAACATGAAAAAACATAATTTTCAAAGTGTTGGTAAGTGACATCCCAGATTTCATTTTGGTCAGTGTTTAAATCATCTTGTGTGAGTCCATTATCCAGAAGAAACAATTGAACTATTTGGGTTTTTTTATTAGTTCATTTGTTTTTTTCCCCCCACTAAGTATCAGAACAAATAGTTCTAGGATAAAAAAAATTCAACTTTAAAAAATAACTCTTGCAAAAAAGAAAATCTTGGCCTTCATGAAAATGTGTTGTGCTTTCTCTTCTCCCACGCCTGTCATTCAAACTTATCAGAGTGACACCATTATTCTTGTCAAGCAGGAAAGATTTCTATCATTACCAAGATTTCCCTGGGGACCTAATACTACAAAATTTGTTCTCTCAAGTTTAGGGCTTAACTATAATTGAGAGAAAGGTTTTATTTTATAAGTGCACCACAGATGGTCATATCAACCACTCATTCAACTCACTCTTTTGTTGGGAAATGTGACTCAAATGATATTTTAATGACATACCAACAAAGATTAGCAGACATGCATATGCATTTAATGTTTGACATAAGATGTAAATAGGCCAGCAGGATTTAAATCACTGGAATGAAAGTTCTCAACAAGTAACTTAAATTGGACTGTTGTCTGAGGTCCCAGGAGATGGTACAAACTATTTTTAAAAGGGTTGTTGCTATTTAAAGTAGAAGCTACTTCTCACAGAGCCATAGATTCTCACAGCTAGGAGAGGGTGGGGGTGGGGGTAGGAGAGGGGTGTTTGCTTCTTTAACCTCACAGAATCATAGACTTTCACAGCTAGAAGGGACCACAGAGGGACCCTAGTCCAACCTGCACCTGTGCAACATAACCAGCAAGAGGTCATCCAGACTTTGCTAAGACTTCCTGCAAGGAGAGAAGGTACACTACTTTAGAAGCAACCCATTCTCCTCCTGGCTAGCTGCAAATGTTATATCCTTAAATCAATTCTAAATTTGTCCCCACAAATTCTACTTACTGTTCCTAGTTTTGCTGCTCTCTGGGGCCATATATTATGAATCCGGCTCCTTTTCCTCATAATAGCCCTTTAAATATTTAAGACAATAACCATGCCCCCACCACATCTTCTGCTCTCCAGGCTAAACATGCCTCATTCCTTTAGCTGATCTCTGTATAAATTGATTTTGAGGCCACTCACCATCCTGGCTGCCCTCCTTTGGATTGCTCTATAATTCTGGTTGCACTACAGGTTATCAAGGCCCGTCCTGTAATGTGGTTCCCAGATCCAAACCCAACATTCCACATGTAGTCTCAGTGGGGAGGAATATAATGGGATTGTTACTATTCTTGTCTTGGACATCTTATTTTATGTCTTCTGATAAGTACAGCCAATTGCTCTTTTTCATATTCTGTCTTCTACTTAAAAGTAATTAAAAAGAAACCCCAAAATTCTAGCAATAGACATTGAACATAATTTAAAAAAAGGACAACCTGTGGTTCTACTTAAATTTTAGTAAATGTCCCAGATATCTCTTTAGATACTAATAAATAATAGTAAAGAAATTGCAATTTTTAAAAACAAAGCTAGAAAATCTTAGTAAATGAAAGATAAAGAGCAAATGGATGGGATTGTGATGGATATTTGTTCTTTATTAATTTCCAGATAATTTTGAGGGAAAGAAATTTTGTAGTTGATGCTTTTGTTGTTTTGTTTGGGCCTACAGTTCTTAACAATGGGGATCTGGGCTCAGCCCAAGGGTGTAGTTATTGTTTATTTCTAAAGATGTGATACACAATCCACTGACCTTTGAGCCACTTGTCTGCAGCTGCCAACATAGCATCTCTCTGATCCTTATAGAAGGCTATCACCCTAGAAGCCAAAAGCCAATATGAAAAAGTCAGAACATTCTTGGAAAAGGTTACAGAGGCTAATAGGTCTCTGGAGCACAGTTGATAAGAAATTGCTCTGGTTTCCAGGTTTCATCAAAGCATGGAGTTCTTGCTTGGTAAAAGAAGATAATAAACCTATTTGTCTATGAAATAGCCACAAAATGATGAAGGAAAGAGCAAAAATGTGGACCCTGAAAACAAGGTCACATTAGAAGCAGCACAATCAGTCACTAGTAGGGGAATGAGGAAAACTATATTATGTTCTCAGGTCTATAACTAGTGACATTAGTGACTTAGAAACCAGGTCTACATAAACAAAGTAATTACCCTGATTATTCAGACAGTTTGCCTCCTCAGCCCACTTTCTCCAAGTTGCTTTTATATAAATTTCTGTGTGTATAGCACTCACAGCCAAAAAAAGAGTGTTCCTCCCAAATTCTTAATACCATTTTAAGCTATTAGAGCTATATCTATCATATACCCAGGGGTGAGAGTCCATTATCCTTTGGATATTAAGAGTTTCTAGCTAAGCATGGGAAAACCTGCTATTAGATGCTGACTTTGAAATTGTTCATGGAAAATCTATATACAATTATTCCATTAACTGACGCTTTTTAAATACCTTTATGATCTTATTTTGACAAGCAGTATGGAGTAGTGGAGAGAGGAGGTCAGGAAAACCTGAGTCCCAGTCTTGCCTCTGACATAAACCTGCAAGGTGACTGACCCTAGACAAGTCATGTAAAGGTTTGGTGCCCCAGGCAACTCTCTAAGGTGAAGAGTTGCCAATGTGCATCAGTGAAGAGGGTTTCCATACTAGGAATTCCCCACACTGAACAATTCATAGATCCAGATCAAAAACATACAACAAAAAACCAAAAAAACTGTCCCAGTGTTTCAGTAGCATCTTAAATGAGATAAAATGATAGGAAGTGTCAGTTGGAAGGGTTACTCCCTCAAAACAAGCTTCTACCAAGTCTCTGAATTATTTTGACTGCCCTCTTTACATACAAAAAGGAAGAACAACAAACAACAAGAACTTCCATAGAGGTGTTAAAAGGCTCATATAGAAATCTGATGCAATTTTCATGCTACTACTAAAACAGGAGCAAATGTCCAACATTCATTATAACTCTCACACAGGTGGAAACATCCCCTTATGAGTGCTGAGGCCCGGGGCTTACAAACCTCTTAAACAAAATGTCAATACCTGTCTACATGCTTCAGGAAACCCTCTTCTCCCCATTGTTGCAGGAGCTGGGTTATCAGCAGCTAAAAGAGATAAAACAATGGTCAGGGTCATGGCAGGTAGTAAGCACTTAATAAATGCTTATTGACTAACTGACTAAAATTTACCTATATCTCACTGCAAAGGGACTGTTTACATTTTTTTTCAATTGGCTAAATGTAAAAATTGAGGACGGTGATTAATCATCTCGAGTGAGCTCTGGTTCTGAAGGCTAGCTTAACATCTACCTTTTCTTCCTTAGTAAGCCTCCATTTTTCAAAGACATTTTGCTCTTAACCGTTTTTAAATTATTGAGGAAAACTGTTAAAACTCAGTCTGTGGAATAGTTTGGCTGCTAGATTTTCAGATCCACACTGCCTCGAACCAGAGCTCACTGTAGCTATCCAAGCCCCAAGTACTTGAATTGACAAATAAAACATTTAACATTGGATCAAACCAAAAGAAGTAGTTTCATTCTTATTAATTTAATTTTTTTCTTGAAGAGTGAAATTCATAGCTACATCATTTACACTTAAAAATGTCATAGGATTTGCAGTTGGAATGTCCCTTATGGGTTATTGAATCTGATCTATTCATTTTTCACATCAGGAAATTTAAGCACAGAGGGGATAGGACAGATGCTCAAAGTCACAGAGATAGCAAGTAGCAGAGCCAATATCTAAGGCCAGGTCCTTTGACTCTAGATCAAGTGCTTGTTCTAGGCTTAAAGCTAGCACTTTTTTTGAAATGAGGCAAAGGAAAGATGTCAGTATTGCTGACAACAACAACATGAAAGCTAATTATATTACTATCTATACTAACACAGGGAGGCAATGCCTGAGAAGAAACCAGTAAAACTCAGGGTTCAGATGGAAAAAAATCTATTTTTTTTTGGAAAGGCCAATATGCGAATTTCCTTTGCTTGACTATGCATGTATGTTATGAAGGTTTTTTCCCTTTCTTTTTCAATGGGGAGTGGGAGGGGGGAGGAAGAGAAAGTAGATTTTAATTGAAAAAAAAACCAAACTAAATTAAAAAATAAATAAAAGTAAAATGAGATAATGAGGTATTGCTTCATTTGTGTAGAGTAGATTTGGAAGGAAGGGGGCTTGGAGAGCCACCAGGATTTAGTGATTGATGCACACATAGCATAAAGTTTGCAAAGAAGCTTTACAAAGATTATCTCATTTGAACTTCACGATAACTCTGTGAAATAGGCACTATAGATATCATCACCTGCATTTTACAAATGAGAAAGCTGAGGCTCAGAGCTATTAAATGACTTGACCATAATCACACGTGGACCAACCAGTAAATGTCAGAAGTGGGATTTCAACCCAGATCTTCATGACTGCAAGTCTATCTACTACTCCATGTTACCCTCACTGCTCCAAGATCACATGGTTTATAAGTGGTAGGGTGGGGGCTAGAACCCAAATGTTCTCATGTGTACAAGAGTCCTTCCTGGAAACCCTCCTGCCTGTCCCTACCACCCTGCTCTATTTGCAAAAAATCTATTTTCCATGTTCATCACAAAAAGATATTCCATTTAGTCAATGGTTCCTTACCTGTGTAAAAGTGCTGGTGTGTAGTGTTGAAACTTGCATGTGCAAAACAATTTGATCAATCAGAGGTTTGGGACCAGTTATAAAACCTACTCTCAGTCTGTGAAAGTATAGAAAAAATATTACACAAATGACAAAAATTCAAGTCATTGGTTTCATAACTTAACTAGCTACTGAAATTCCTTTAGAAGGCCCATTTTGACTCTAAGGCCACACAGTGTCTTCAAGGATGTGGATTCTAGAAGTGTGAAGCATCCTAATCATATTATTTCACATTTCATTTAAAGTATGAATTTAAATTTAAGTATAAATTTTTAATGAATGGTTAAACTATGTCCCAGCATTTTGAGAAGTACATCAAATATATATGAAACTGAAAAATCTAGCAGCCAAACTATTCCACAGACTGAGTTTTAACAATTTTTCTCAATGATTTAAAAACAATTAAGAGCAAAATGTCTTTGAAAAATGGAGGCTTCCTAAGAAAGAAAAGGTAGATATTAATAATCAGACTGATTTTCATTCTCAGGGTATTTTATTAAGATAAGTGGGTTATAAAATGTGCAAACTCAAAGAATAGCATTTTCACGGTTGACTTTTCTAAAACAAGAAACCTGGTCAGGTTTCATAAAGCCCCTTCCTTTTCTTATTTCAGGGTGACTAAAAAATCATTGCCTCAGCAAGTGTCTAGCTTCAAGGAGGCAAGAATGTATATCCCATGGCCATAGTCACAGGACTTGGGCTACACTAAGACAGGCTCGTAGATTTCAGTGGTAACAATAACAACAACAATGATAATAAATAACAGCAAGCATTTATATAGCACCTACTATGTACCACACATTGTATCTTAGTACTTTACAAATATTATCTCATTTGAGCCTTATACCAATACTGGGAAGTAGGTGCTATTATTATCCTCATTTTACAGTTGGGAAACAAAGATTTCCCACACAAATAGTAAGTGTCTTAGGCTAGATTTGAATTCATATCTTCCTGACCCCAGGCTCTGACTCTATTCACTGAGCCTCCTAGCTGCTGGTGTGTGTATTTCCTCTATCAAAGTAGACCAAAATCCCTCTAGTCCTTGGTAGGAAGTTCTTATGAGTTCTTATGGACAGAAAAATGCATTACTTGATGATCCTCCCTCAGGTGATGAGTCTCTGAGTTTAATCAGGATAGTTCTCAGACCACACACCTGGTTGGGTTTGCTGGACCCAGACTTGAAACTCCTTCAGCCTGTTAGTACTTGTAAGAGGTTGTACTCTCTAAGCATGTGGTTTGAGAATCCAGGTTCACCTCTGGGTCACAGTGAGGCCTTGGAGCAAGACTTCCATGCATGTCCATTAATACAAATTTTAAAATGCCTAACATTTTAAAAGTAATACTTGGGGCAGCTAGGTGGTGCAGTGGATAGAGCACTGGCCCTGAAGTTAGAGGACCTGAATTCAAATCTGATCTCAGACGAGACACTTGACACTTACTAGCTGTGTGACCCTGGGCAAGTCACTTAACCCCAATTGCCTAAAAACAAAACAAAAAAAAGTAATACTTAAATAATGAATTAATCACTCAATCAAAAAACATTTATTCAAAAAACATTTATTAAGTGTTTGCCATGTGCTAGGTGCTGGAGATACAAAGGCAACAGTGAAACAACTCCTGGCATCAAGGAGCTTATATTCTACTTGAAAAGACAAAAATGTACATTTATATATAAAAAAACCATATACAAGGCGATATATGGGGTGAAGGGAGAAAAACTTGCAGCTGGAAGAAGATGGGGAAAGTTCTCTTGGAGAAGGGGAAGCTTGAACCAAGTCTTGAAGGAAATGAAATATTCTAAGAGGTGGGTGTAAAGAGGGAGAGCATTCCAGGAATAGGGGAGAGCTAATGAAGAGGCGCAGAGATGAAGGGTGGACTATCATGTATAAGGAAATATGAGAACCGTATGACCAGATGATAGAGGATATGAAAATAATGTGTAATAAGTCTGGAAAGGCATATTGGGCCAGGTTATGAAGAACTTTGAGTGTTAAACAGAGAATTTAATGTATTATCCTCGAGGTGATAGGTAGCTTACTGGGTAGGGGAGAGACATGGTCAGACCCACATTTTAGAAAGATCACTTTGGCGGTTGTGTGGAGGCTAGATTGGAGGGGAGAGACTTGTGGAAGGGAGACTAAACATAAGGCTACTGCATTAGTATGAGAGATAATAAAGGTTGAACTAGAGCAGTGGCTGTGTGCATGAAAAGAAGAGAAAGGATGTAGGTGATTTTATGGGAACAATAAGATTTGATAACTAAATGTGGGGTAAGAGTAAGGAGTCAAGGATGCCACTGAGGTTTTGAAGCTGGATGACTGGAACAGTGGTGGTGACTTCAAAAGATGTTTGGAAGAGGAGACAGTTTGGGGAAAAGATAATTGGTTCTATTTTGGATGCTGAGTTTGAAAAGCCTATAGAATATCTATAGGCATAGTCAAAATGTTCAATAGGAAGTTGGTACTGCAGAACTGGATAGAGTTTAGGACAGGATATATAAAATTTGCAGTCTTCTAAATGGAAATGATCATTGAACATATAGGAGCTGATTAGGTTCTCTGGACCACAGAAAAAGAAAAGAAGAGGATAGTTAGGGGGCATGACATAGATGTTGATCCAGGAAAGGTGAGGAGTGGTCAAACAGGAGAACTAGGAGAGAACCATGTCATGAAAACTTAGAGGTGAGTATCTAGGAGAAGAGGGTGGTCAACAGTGCCAGACACTACAAAGAGGTCAAGAGGCATGAGGATTAAATGAACAAATTATGGTGTGCAAATGTAATGAAATACTATTCTATTATGCCATAAGAAATGATGAGAGGCAGTTTCAGAGAAACCTGGGAAGATTTGTGTGAGTAAAGTGAGCAGAACCAAGAGAACAATTTATATAACAACACTGCAAAGGCAAACAACTTTGAAAGACTTAAAAATGCTTATCAACATAATGACCAACCACATTTCCAGAAGACTGATGATGAAACACATTAACTGCTCCTGACAGAGAGGTGATAGATTCCAGGTGAAGAATGAGACATACATTTTATGGATATGGCTAATATGGGAATTTGTTTCACATGACTGTTAAAAGGGTTTCCTTTTACTTTTTTTTTTTCAGCAGTAGAGTGTGTAAAACAGATTTTTCTTAATTGAAACCATTAAACATTTCTTAAAAAAAGAAGTCCTTGGTAACCTTGGAGAGAGCATTTTTAGTCAGGTGCTGAGATCAGAAACCATACTACAAAGTATTGAGAAGAGTGTGAGGAGTGAAAGTAGAGACAATGAGTGTAGACAGCTTATTTTAGGTATTTGGTTAAGAAAGAAAAGAGATCTAGAATGATAGCATCTAGTGAGGGCTTCTTAAGGAGGGGGAGACTTAGGTGGCTATAGGAAGCAGGAAAGGAACCAGTAGAAAGGGAGAGATTAAAGATTAGAGAGACAGAGTGAGAATGCTAGTGGAAAAAATACGCTGGAAAAGAGATGAGGAGATGGGATAAAGGATTAGAGCTTGGTCTTGGTGAGAAAGGCTAACTCCTCTTCAGAAATTAGAGTAAAAGAGGACAGAAGAAGGGAGGGGAGATGATGGCAGTGAATGATAAGGTGTATAGAAAGATGAGAGAGCTCACAGTGAATGACCTCAATTTTTGCTGTGAAGGTGGAGGTGAGGTCTTGAGCTGAAAGGATGAGGAAGAGGGTTCTACAGAAGGCTAGAGGAGAGAAGAGAATATCTGGAATACCTTTTATCAAATAATCAATTAGGAGGAAGTAAAAGGATAGCCTGTGGCAGTAAGATCCCAGTTGAGATTAGATAACAGGAATGTGTAGTGGGTTCAGTCAATCCCAGGTTTGGGATTTCTTCCAGCTTTATTCAACTGTAGTTGAGTAGGAGAGGAGGAGATAAGATGGTGGGAATAATATAGGGTGAGGGGTCATTAAGGTATGACTCGTGATAGGATCAGTTAATAGGCATCTGAGAGTGGAGGATATAGCATCTGAGAGTGGAGGATATAGAATTGAGCTGGTTAACTAAAGGATTCAGATAGGGAAGAGAGAAAAGTACTTCTAGAGCAGGAGTGATGGCCTAGGAAAGTACCAAGGATTGGAGGTGAAGGTGAGGTCAAAGAATAGGTATGGGAGTGGTGAGGCAGAGAGAAAGTGGGAATAAGAAGAGGTTATAATCACATAAGGGAATTCTAGAGCTCTTGATCAAGGAAGTAGAATGACTGTGGATGACAGCAACATCCAACCCTGTGTGTAACTGAGGTGAAGTGGATGAGTAGGTTGACAAACTAGGAAATAAGGGTGTTTGAGGAAACATCAAGATGAAAGAAACCCCTAACAGGAGTTGGCATAGAAACAACAAACAATGGTAGTTTCAACATGCACATTATCTGAAAAATGATCTTACCCTGAAGACAGAATTTTAGAGAAAGAATCTGTTCTGATGACACGACCATCAGTGTCCATGGAAAGAAATGTTGGTGCCCAAGGCTGAAAAACAAAACCAAAAGTAATTATGGAACTGCACTAGGCCCTAGATAAGTGCTTTATTAAGTTACATTTTTTTTCTTCTTCTGAGATAGCAAGAGAGGGAGCACATTAGGATGGGATTCCTATAATTTCCATTTTCATTTTCCCACTCCTACTAGAAGAGAAAAGCTAGACTTCATGTTCTCTTGTAAACACTTGGCCTTGTTCATGGTTTCTTCAGTAACATACTGTATATACAGGGGTGAGGTTGAGCAGAAGTTTCAGTTGTAGATAAAACATAATTTTTAGGAACTTTAGGAAAACTCCTAATAGCCTCTACTCATTCCACAGGGAAGAATCAGATCAAGAGAAAGGGCTATGGGACAAGTTGAAAATGAAGAATGGTAGGCACATACAGAGTAGTGAAGAGTCAGCTAGACAAATAAAACAAAGAAAATGGAAACTGGAATTGGCATAGTTTCTAGAACGGACCTAAGACTACCCTAATTGATAAAAGATAAAGGAGTCCACAATTACAATGAGAATAAAAAGGGGATAGGCAAAGGAAGGCATGCATAGGCAAACTTTAGGGAGCAATAACTCAGATTTACAAAGTGCTTTAAGGTCTTAAAAGCACTTTCCTCACAATAACCCAGTGAAGTAAGTAATAATAGTATTATTACTCCCATTTTACAGACGAGAAAAGCAACTTGGGGATCTGGGAGTTGGTTGGTATTTTACCTGAGCAAAAGTTAATCTGTTAGCTTACAGGAATGTACAAAATAAAATGGAAGATGGAAATGCTTCCTCTCTCTTTCTTTTCTTCTTCTTCTCCTTCTTTCTCCTCTCTCTCTCTGTCTTTCTCTTTACCAGTGTGCTTCCTTGAGCTATAAGAATAACTACTATAATGTGGAGCTCTTGCTAAATTTTGTTTGCTGGTAACTGTCACTATTCTAACTCCTACCACTCCTTACTGCTTAGAAAACAACGACAACAACAACAACAACAAATCTGTGCTTTGGCTAAATAACAATAATAACTAGCACTTTAAAGTTTGCAAAATTCTGTACAAATATTGACTCATATAACAACCTTATGAAGTACTGCTATTATTATTCTCATTCTCACCAAAGCCACCTCTAAAGTTTCCAGAACTTCTGTGACTACGTCGGTAGAGAAAATCAATAGCAATTACTTGTTTAGACAGGCCCTTTCTCACTTTTGTTGTAACATTTCCATTATGATATTTCTGAATAATGACCTTATCCAGGGAGTTGTAGTCTTTCAAAGTCACAAAAGCTTAAGTCCTTGTCATTGTGACTAATCGTCTCAATCATTTCAATCTTTCCTTAATCACAGGTCCTTATTGTTTTCCTTATTTCTAGGCACAAAAATCTTCATAGTTAGACACCTGGCCTTTGAATGCCATCTCTGGAGATAGCTCTCTTTGGTTCAATAGCTCTGCCATTAACCCCTGTGTGATTTTGCATTCATGGCTGCAACTACCTCCTCTATCGTGGTAGAGATGTCAAAATCTAAGTCCCTGGAGTATGGAGATTATCATATAATTTATGACTGTGTGCCATTGTTCAAATTGGTTCCTGTTGTTTCTGAAACTCAAGACTATGATAAAGAGCTTCAGGTTCCTTGGGGGACTCTGTCTTTGACATTGCAATGAAGAGCAGTGGCCTCCAGAACTAATTAATGAGCACACTTGAAAATCCATTTTTTCTACTATCAACCTTCAGGCCAAAGCATTGGCCATGGTGTAATAATACTTAAGAAACTATGAAGCACAGACCATAGTTTGGGGTCCATAAAAAATACCAGCTCTGGTTCATTCTGATAGATCAAAATTTATGGGAAACAAGATGAGCTAGCTAAAATCTCAAGTCCAGAAACCCATGTTGTTTCTTATTTAATAGTTAAATAAGAACCCTATAATAAATAAAAATGCTACCAATTTTAGGACAGGGAGATAATATTGTTCATCTCAGATAAATCATATGCCCTAGTTGTGTGACCTTGGGCAAGTCATCTTACATTTCTGTGTTTTAGTTTCCTTATCTGTCATTTAGGGAGCAATACTTGTATTACCTTCCTCTCAGGGGTATTGGAAGGAAGGTACTCTGTAAACCTTGTAAAAATATGCTCTGAATATTTGAGTTACCCATCCATGGATCTTTGATATCATTAACATGGATGGTGCTTTTACTCATGCTGATTGTAAGCAATTCATTTCTTTCCATAAATCTTCAACAAAGGTTTTACTCAAATGTGACTGAGATCTCATTCTTCCCTCATTCTTCATGTTATTCCTTATTCTTGAGATACACACACATACACACACACACACACACATCTTTGATGAGGTTTCTTATGCAACTTTTTGCAACTAAGTCATCTATGGTAACATGTTGTGGACTAATTAAATTCAAGGAATGGAGTGTGAATAATCTAAATTTAAAAAAATCTCTTTAGTGCAAAGGTAATAATAATTTATAAGTTCATGATACTTTAAAGTTTTCTTTTTCTATTTAATAAATTTTGTTTCAGCAAAACAAACTAAAAAAGGAAAGGGAACCCTCACCAGCCCAAATATAATATCTGAAAATAATCAAGCAAAATATCATCAAAAGAGTGACTAGTAAATTCTTGCATACTAAACCATAAAATTCTGTTATTTATCACTTGTGAAAATAAAGGAAGTTTGTATATTTTAACTTTAGCAAGATAGTACCATTACCAATCTTGGTACTTAACCTGAAATTTATTTATTTAAATAGCTGTAATCAATGTATATGATAATAATTAAATAACTAAATAATAAATTAATAATAATACTAATAAAATAATAATTTTGATTTTCCCATTTTGCATAATTTCATATGTCTTTCCATATTTCTTTGAACTGTTCATATTCATCATACCTAGTAGGTGTGTGGTGATATGATAAGTTTTAAATTTGCATTTCTCCGATTAGCAGCAATTTTGATTACTTTTTCATGTGGTTGTTAATATTTTTTATACTTTCAAAAACTGTTGATTCATATCCTTTGGCCACTTATCTATTGAAAACTGTTTCTTAATATGCTAAATATAAGTCACTTCTGAATAGGTTTTGTATGCTAGAATTTTATTAGAGACTTTAGAAGTAAATATTTCCCCCCAGTCTTGAGTTCAATCTGTTTAAATCCAGAGATATAATTATTACATTTGATTGCCTTCACACCTCTTCTACATTATTTTATATTATTTACTTTTATAATCTCACTAGTATCAACTAAACCTTGGATTCTGCACAAATGTATATATCCACATCCACACAAAACACAGACCAGGGATTTCTACAGTACTGACAAAATCTTTTCACACTTTTCATGCTTATCCTCCAGAGAGGTGTGAGGTTTAATCAGATGCTTCTCCATTCAAGCCACAATAATGATATCTTCTGCCCTGCCCCACAAACTTGTCTTCTTCATTCTGTTCCTGTTTTATAGGGATTTCCACTCAATTTCTAGCCACTGGTTCCTCTCCATTCCTCATTAAGTTGAACATAAAAGGTAAAACATTGAAGAGATGACTTCTGCTCCTTCAAGAGTGTGGCCAGAACCAGATTAAAAAGTAGTTCCTATCTGATTTTAATGTGTTTATATATTAATAATAAAAGAAATGCATAAACATGTGTGATTTTCTAAGTCAATATATGACTCAGAAGGATCCTTACCTATCGTTTATTGGTCCCCTTTTCCACTTGAGTTTGACGCCACTACTTTAAAGTCCTATTTAACATCTTAAGGTTTGCATCTAAAGGACTCTAACTAGTACTGGATTTTTCTCCAAGGAGAGTTGAAAATTTTCACTCATATTAAAAATCTATTTGTCTCACAAGAAAAAATTCTCTTTTTTTTGTATTAGGCATTTTGGAGATAAAAATTTTTTCTTTGATTTCCTGAAATTATCTATTTAGGCTATTTATTTCTTCAGACTTCTCTGGGAGACCAAGAAGTCTCATACTATCTCAATGAGTTCTGTTCCTCAGCCCTATCACCTTAATTTATAGAGATCTCAAATCTTTCTTTTTCTGCTATTTTGATTTTATTTGTTCTGCCCACTCTGTAGTTTTGTCTTCTAGCTGAACAATTTTATTATTATGTAATAAATCTTCCTCAGAATGTTCCAAATAGTTGAGTCCCATGTTTATCTTTTTTGTTTTCTCTTTAATGATTTTAATTTGGTCTTTATAGATATCAGATCTTCCTTTATGACTCTCGTTGAACGTATTAACCATTTTGAAAGTTCATCTGGAAGATCCAATTTCATTTCTGAAGGGTTTTGTTGTTATTGTTATATTCTATCCTGTCTTCTTCCTGATTTCTTTTATCTCATAGAATTTCTTTACTGTATTGAAAATTTTTTTTCCTAATTCATTTCTTCGGTCTTTCACTTTTCTGTGAGACGATTCCCCTCCCCCTTAAGATTTCTTTCCTTTCTTGTCTATTTTTTGGTTGTTCTTGCATTTTATTTGGTTCAGTTGTTGATGAAGGGGAGCTGGGATTAGTCATAACCATAACCATTCACTTTGCTATCTTGCCATCACAGCAATTTTCAAAGCACAACGTCTCATGTGATCTTTATAATAACTGTCCATTGGGACAGGCAAGGCAGGTTTTATCATTGACATATTTTTTAACAAATGACAAAATTAGCATTCCAAGGAATTAAGTTATTTGACCAAGGTCACATTGCCAATAAGTGGCAGAACTGACTGGTAATAGAACTTAGATTTCTTGACTCAGATCAGTGTTCTTTCCACTACATCACTACATTTAAGAATCAGATAAGGAATCTAAGTTATAGAAGTAATTATGACTATAAAATAAGTATACATGATAACCTACCATGTTGAATTGGAGAAAATAGTATGGATCATCTTCTATGATGAGAAAATCATATTTTCTTGCAAGCTAAAAATGTTAAAACAATATAATTATTTCTTAGGAGCTATTTGGAAGTTAAAGTCAATTAGCAATTCAGTTTTTTACATCTGTATCTGTCCTATAAGGTGTGAAAAACACTTATTGAGATTCTTTTTCAAACAAAAAAATTAACATGAGTAAAAAGGCATGCTCTTTAAAAATATCTCTTAAACCTATAGAGCTAGAGACTCCATTCCAGACTAACAGTCAATTAGTCAGTCAATAAGCCTGCTATGTGCCAGGCACTGTGCTAAGTACAGGTGATACAAAGAAATGTAAAAGAAGTCCCTGCTGTCATGAAGCTCACAGCCTAATGGGATATTTTTTTTACTTATTTTAATTACTTACATTTTAGCTTTTATTTCCTATTTTAAAAAATGTGCAGTGAAAAACCAGGGAGAACTGACGGATGCCTAAGACTAATATCACAAAGTATACATCCTAACTTGGAAAGCTATATATTGAACTTACATACCAAAAAAAAGAAAAGCAAGATGTATGCAGTAGAGATCTGCAGTTTCATTTATAATCCTCTTTTTCTGTTCTAAATTATGTACAGGGAAATGCCCATTTTATTTTTTGTTGTAAAGAATAAAAACAAATAGTAAAAAACTCTAAAGTATGTATCATCTTTGCTTTTTAATAGACATAATGCTTAATGACATGAGAGTCATGTAGTAGCCAAGGGAAGAGGAAGGTTAAAAACATAAAATACACCAACATATTACAAAGCAAACTTAGGGGTAATTAATAATGAATGATCTCATATGTATGGACCTCAGGCACAGATCAATATCCCTATAGATAAAAATCATCCACAGAAAATAGAAAGGGGGAAAAAATCTCATCAACTGTAGAGATGTACTATGTTTAAACTAATTATTTGTTGCTTTGGTTATAGCTAGTTTATGGACGTAGCAATAAGACAGTAGATAGGGGGTTTTGTCTTCATGAGATTTGTCCCCCAGCAGCCTTAGCATACAGACACTCAACAGGTGATAGGTATTCGTGTCTACTCATAGATTTAGAAATTTCCTCTTACTCAGAACTTTTCATTTTATCTAAAAAATGACATTTCCTACTCCTTATTCCCTTTCCTTCCACTATGTCTATTAATCATGAGGTAAGAAGCTGCATTTCTAGAGCAAGGAAATAACTAACATTTTTCTCAAGACTGTCCAGACCCAAGATTTCAATCCCAGTTTGTAAACTCCCTCCTCCAAATGCAGATTGTTAACTCCACTATAACTTATGGTCTTAGAGAACTGCCTGAGGCACTGACTTGCCCATGGTTACACAGCCAGTATGAGTCAGAGGCAAGAAGGGAACCCTGGTCTTCCTGATTACAAAGTCAGCCTTCTATTTACCATGCCATGCTGCCTCTAGAAACTAACAGTGAACAGGAATAGGAATAGGGGCTCAAGTGGTGAGAGTCTCTTGGAATACCTCATATATTTCCTTTTTGCGTTCATATGTTAATGATGTTCCTGTAGGGTTGCTGCCATTTGGAACTGTGTAAAGAAATTTGGGGGTCTGTCTTTCAGGTTTCTGTGCATCCTCTGGTCTCCACTTGGAAAGTGCTGCTCGGAGAGAATCTGGAATAATCCCATATTGGTCACTGCATACATTGATAATGTTGCAGCCCAATGGCCTCAGCTGTTGAGAAGACACGAACAAAGGAAACCCAAGATTCAGACAAGCAATTCACTGTTTAAAAATACAAATGGCCCTGGTACCCCAATGCGGTGTTATGAGGACTTTGCTGTTCATTGCCTAGGACGTTCATGCTCTTGTAATTGGGCCCTGGGTAAGTTACTAATTCTCTCAGGACCGCAGTTACTTCATATATGAAATGAGGGGACTGGACTTGATCTCTGTCTTCTAGCTCTAAATCTTGAATCCTATGAAGGTAAGGAGCTGGATGGCTGAGTCTATGTTTCTTCTTTCTCTGGCATCCCCTTTCCAGTAAAGTGTTTTGGACATAGTAGGATCTCAGTGAACACTGTTTTGGGCCAATTATAAAGTACAATTAACTGTGCAAAATGCTCTCTTTGCTAATGCTAATGGCTCACATTTATAGGTCACTTTATAGCTTACAAAGAACTTTATTACTTCTATGACATCAGCAGCAGAAATATTGGTATCCATCTTTCCCCCATTCTCCATTTCTCTGAGATACAAAGAAATTCAGTAACTTGTGCACAGGTACATGATGAGTGACAGAGAAAGACCTCAAAGCCTGGACTTCTAATGTCAAATCCAGTACTCTTTTTACCTGGCCATCTTATTTTATTGACTAATTAGCTACATGCAAGGATGAATACAGTTTTATAGATGCCTTATGGGATCCAATAAATGAAAGGAAATTGGGGAAATGATTTGGATTCTACGAGAGACAATGATCAAGTTACATTCTCACATATATTCTAAAAAAGAAAAGCAAATGTTCCTCTTAGCGGTCAAATGCAGAATTATACATTAAAGGACAACCATTCATTCTTTCTTTGTAATGGCAGCAATCTTAGGGCCATAGATCAGACCTACCATGGTTAGGTAGTCCATCCTAATATAGTAAATTACTAACTTTTAATGTTATCAATCACATTTATATAGTACTTTATAGCTTTGAATAAATGTTTTCCTTATAATTGTGTGAACCTGTAATATCTTTTTTCAGATACTACTTTTTTCAGTTTTTCACGTTGCTAAATATAAATGTTCAAAGTAGATGCTCAAAAACATTTACCTTTTTCAAATTTTAACACTCAGGCTTACTGAGTATTAAAAGTATCAAATTTTGTTGTTGTAGTGCTCAGAGGAAAGTCCCATAAAATAATCATACCTTACACATCTGTTGCAATTTATAAGGTGCTTTTGCTTGTTTTATCACATCTAAACCTCATAACCCATGAGTATACAGGGCAAATATTGTTATCCCCAATTCAGAAATGAAGAAATTAAGATTCAGATAGGTTACATGGCTTGTCTAAAGTCACACAGGTAGGAACTAGTAAAGCAACAACTAGAAATTAGGCCATGTGGTATCTAATTCAGTACACTCTGCATGATGCCACACTGCTTCCATATTGAAGACGTAGTTCCAAGGACAAACAGGAAACTGGATTTTATATACTTATAAAAGAAGGAACTGTAGTTGTTATCACACATACTCACAGCTGCCAGAGTCCCTGGGTAAGCAGGTGTATCCATGAGGACATTATCTCCAGGGTTAATGAGCATCTCAAACACCTAATAAAACAGGCATCATTCAGCTTATAACTATGTGTCTTCTGGATTTACAGCCAATTTATAATATAAGAAACAATTTACTCCCATAGAGAATAACCAAAATATATCTTAAGGACAGTGAATCTTTTTTTTTTTTTAATTAAGGGCTGCTGGCTTATAGAAAAAAAAAATCAGTTGAGGACCACAGAAATAAAAAGACAAAGGCAAAGACAGAGAGGCAGACTTGAGTAACAATCCCCTCTTTGCTGTGCTAGGAGAGTATATTCCTGTTAATTAGCTAAAAGCTTGTCATGGTCTTGTAACTCTGCAGAAATGGAGATTCCACTTCTTTTCAGATGTTTCATGGGGTAGACGGAAATAAGAATGGGCTCCAGTGAATATTCAGTAGGGCTTTTCAGTTAATTGTGTCCAAATGCTAGTCATTCCATCACCTAACACTGGTCACCAACCAAATGAATGTGAAGTATAAGAAACATCAGAAAAGTGAGCTCTGGGAAAGTTAAAATCTCTGCAGCAATCTAAAAAAATCCTTTGGCGTAATATAGCAATAGAAACTGGAATGAAATAGGATCATGAGTCCACAGATTTCAAACCACTGTTAGAATATCATAATAGAAGGCAAATATGAGCCTTCATTTTTATATTTATTTTTCATTTTTCTTTATAGTACATGTTGACTAATCAGTCTCCTGCCAGTCGAGATACAGTTTACCATCTACTTTGCGTTTCACTTACAAATGATTTTATTCTGAGAGGTCCCTGTCTGGGTGTACTGGGAGCCATGATCTACCTTATACCATCTACAGGCTGCATGCTTCAGTCAGAAGGATTTGGGCCCTTATGTGAGACCCACTGCAAAAATCCTTTTTCAATGCCTTTCCATGTTGTGGAAGTAACTATGTATGGGTTCTCAGAGGATATGCCGGTTAAGCACAAGATCTGGAAGATTCTACTAAGTTGGAAAGGCTTCAAATATGGTCACTGTGACCAAATGCTGTGTTGGAAACAGCCTAAGCGTGAAGAAGCTCAACAACAGTAGGCTGAACACTAAGCAATGAATCATTTGGCTATGAAACAGATAAAAATACAAAACAGCCCTAAGGGAGTGTCCGTGTAGGCTGTGATGGCAGCAGAGTGACAGAAAATGGGGCAGAGGTGACAAAAATTACATGGGTTTCAGACCAACTAGAAACATTCATTTAACCACTGGTATTTAAAAACTGAAATTATTATCCAGTGACCAAAGAACTGATAAGGGAACTGACTTGCCTCAACCCTAATATTCTTGTATATAAAACCAGAAAATATAAAGAAGATGCAGCTGAATGGAATGATATTCTCCTGCAAAGAAATGCAAAAAAATGTAATGCAAATGCAAAAATGCAAAATGTAAAAAGACAGGGTGGCGTGCCATCATGTACACAAAGGAAATAAGGAGTTTCACTCATAGTACTGGTTATCTTCAGGTCACCTAGTATTGATCATCTCTTCTAGAAGTGCTCATGATAAATCTAAGCCATAACATAATTGCAGCTTAAGGCAAGATCTATTGCAAATAATAAAGAAATACAGAAATTTTTCACAAAGGTCGAATAGATCCTCCAAATCAGATCCTCCTATATGCCAACATATACACAGATACTCAGAGACTTTATTATAAAGGTGAGCACGTTGGAGTATGGTGAAAAACTATGTTGGAAAATATAGTTTGAAATTAAAAACTGAGGGCAGCCAGAGGTTTCCTACTAACTCAGAAGGTTCACATTTTTAAATCATGAACAATTTATTCAAGAAAAGGGTCAGAACATAAGACTTCACTGTTCCTTTTGTTTGTGGATTTTTAAAAAGGTAACTTACAACAAAATGTACCTTAAAAATTGTTCTCCAATTAGGTGTATCTCCTACGCAATTTGTTAAGATCATTTAATATTCTTTGATAGATATGACAAAGATATAACTTTGATTAATGATATTTTGACTATAAATATCAAACAAGTTGTAAAGTAGGGAGATATAGAATTCAAAGTATTCATCAACGTTATGAAGAATGCCCTCTGCATAGTATGAGAGAGATTCCCTACAAAATAATAAGTTTTCCAAATACTCCAGTTTGCGGATGACATTATGCTGATTACATTAAACCCCTCAATACTATGGGACTCTTCTTTTTGTTGTGAGATCCACAGCAACTACTCAAAAGAAATTGATTTAGGAAGTAATATTAGAAAGAACTAAGTGAAAGAAGAATGCACATTGCCCATAGTATGACACTCAGCTGGATGAGTAGCCCTTGGATTAGTTTACACTACAAATATTTTCAAAAAGCCTGAGTATAAGATAAATCATGAAGCAGGCCTAGGAGAAGGATGGACGTGGCTATATTTGGAAAACTATAGCACTTTTATGGAGCACCATGAACTCCAAAGAATCAAAATTGAGGGTGACCCAAAGGGTGATGGTGATACACTTGTTGGGAATAAGTCAAACTACATCAAATTACCAATGAAGAGTTGGTATAATAAAAAATAAACCATGTATAACTGGAAAAAGAAATGAAGGAGTCAAAAGAAAAAAATGAAGAAGTAACAGATGGACAGATAGGAAATATGGCACTAATGACCAGAAGTTGTTAAAGTATCTAGAGCAGGGGTTCTTTTTGTGTCATGAACCCTTTTGACAGAGTAGTAAAATCTATGAACTATTCCTCAGATGAGTATTTTTAAGTGCACAAAATAAAATGCATAGGATTATAAAGGAAAACAATTATATTGAAATATAATTACCGAAATATTTTAAAAATAAGTTCATTGACTCTCAAGTCAAGAACCCCTGAAACTAGAGGAAAGGCTTCAGTATAGCAGGTAGAAGATCATGGAGGACATATGGAAGGCCATGGACAGGAAGTGGGCAGGATGAGAAGGCATGCGAAGATTTGTGATTTACCCCCATCATGATTTAAGGATATACTTAAGTAATATTTATTCAGTAATGATAATATTCTAATCAATTCTGTATTATTTGCATTGATAGAAGGAAGTAGAAGTATAAAGAATCAACCCAAAAATTATTTCTATTTGGCTTGTGCAGGCAGTCAGCAACACACATACCCCTTTCCTGTGTTATTCCCTAGTCTTTAGCCCAAACAATTACTAAAGCGGCACCAACAAGAATCCAGAACACAGATGATTCACTTATAGGTAACCAAGAGGTGCACGTGTGTTTATAAATATATTCAGCTCTACCTAGAGGAGCCATATTCCTTTTAGTCTTACTTTACAAAGGCCTTCTTGGCTCCCAGTGGTGATGCATACATCCATTTGTCCTTGCTCAGGACTGAACTGGGCAGTGGGGGGCTTGTGGACGCTAGTCTGGAACTTTTTCAGCCAGGACAACAACTCTGGAATCCTAAAACACAAATTAAATTTCAATATTTGTTTTTCCTCAGTGCATAATTCATTCTATATTATTCAGAATCAGGCTTATATGGGTTACCTTGAAATTGCCTTTGGCCACCTTGCAGTGAAAAATGTTTTCTATTCAACTCAACAAACATTTGTTAATCACCTACAATGAGTAGGGCACAGTGTAGTCAAAGATAAAAACCGAAGAGTTCCTGACCTAATCTCAAGGAATTTATATTACACTGGGGGGATGTAACAGTGTATTTTGCCACTGGAGACATAGGATTTATTTATTTTTTAAAATAGTACTTTACTTTTCCCCAGTTACATGTCAAGAAAAATTTTAGCATTCATTTTTTTAAAAATTCTATTTATTTATTTTAGATTTCAACATTCACTTCTATAAGATTTTGAGTTCTAAATTTTCTCCTCCCCCCTCCACTACCCCCTCCCCAAGATGGCATGCAATCTGATATAAGCTACACATGTACAATCATTTTAACATATTTCTACATTAGCCATGTTGTAAAAAAGAATTAGAACCAAAGGGAAAAACCAAAAGAAAGAAGAAACCAAAAAAAAAAAAAAGAGAGAGAAAATAGCATGCTTTGGTCCACATTTGGATTGCACAGTTCTTAATCTGGATGTGGATAGCATTTTCCATCATGAGTCTTTTGGAATTGTCTTAGATCCTTTTATTGGTGAGAAGAGTTAAATCTGGTTATCCCACAATGTTGCTGTTATTGTGTACAATGTTCTGGTTCTGCTCACTTCATTCAGGATCAGTTTGTGTAAAGTCTTCCCAGGTTTTTCTGAAGTCTGCCTGCTCATCATTTCTTATGGAACAATAGTATTGTTCCATTAAGAACAATAAGCATCTCCTCAATTTCCAATTCTTGGCCACCATAAAAAGAGCTGCTATAAATACTTTTGTACATGTGGGTCCTTTTCCCATTTGTATGATCTCTTTGGGATACAGACTAAGAAATGGTATTGCTGGGGTAAAGGGTATGCACAGTTTTATGGTCCTTTGGGCATAGTTCCAAATTGTTCTCCAGAATGGTTGGATCAGTTCTCAACTCGACCAACAATGCATCAGTGTTCCAATTTTCCTACATCTTCTCCAACATTTACCATTTTCCTAGCATTCATTTTTTACAAGATTTTGAGTTGCAAATTTTTCTCCCTCCCCTTTCCTCTTCTGAAAATGGTAGACGGTTTGATACAAAAATCCACTTAAGAAAACAACTCCTTAAAGAGGAAAATTGGCTAAATGGAGAAGAAGTACAAAAGCTACTTGAAGAAAACAATACCTTAAAAGTTAGAATTGGGTAAGTGAAAGCTAATGACTCTATGGGACATCAAGAATCAAACAATATTAAAAAAAATGAAAAAAAATGGAAGAAAATGTAAAATACCTCTTGGTAAAAACAACTGACCTGGAAAACAGATCCAGGAGAGACAGTATCAGAATCAATGGACTACCTGAAAGCCATAATTAAAAGGAGGACCTGGATAGCATCTTTCAAGAAATTATTAAAGAAAACTGCCCTGATGTCCTGGAACCAGAAGGCAAAATAGGCACTGAAAGAATCCATCAATCACCTCAGAAAAGAGAACCCAAAACAAAAACTCCAAGGAACATTATAGCCAAATTTCAGAACTATCAGGTCAAAGAAAAATGACAAGTGGCTAAAAAGAAATAATTCAAATATCGAAGAGTCACAGTCAGAGTTACACAGGACTTGGCAGCTGCAACTAAAGGATTGGAAGTCATGGAACATGATAATCCTGAAGGCAAAGGAACTAGGACTACAACCAAGAATCACCTACCTGGCAAAATTAAACATAATACATCAAGGGAAAAAATGGTCATTCACCCAAACAGGGATTTCAAGCTTCATAAACATAATTCATAAGGAATTTATCCAAAAAATTTGACCTCCAATATCAAGACCCAAGAGAAGCATAAACAGGTAAAAAAGGAAAAGAAAACAGAAGATTCAAGAGAGCCAAACTATTTGCATCCCTACCTGGGAAGACGATACTTGTAATTCTTAAAAATTGTATTTTTAATATTGTAGCTAGAAGGAATACACATAGAGGGTATAAGGTAAACTTGATGGAATGACATAAAAAAATTTAAGGGATGAGAAAGAGTAATACAATGTGTAAGGAAGGGAGACGTAGAATGGGGCAAATTATTTCACATGAAGAGGCACTAAAGACCTATTACAGTGGAGAGGAAAATGGGAGGGTGGGCAATGAGCATTGCTTGAACTGTACTCTCAGTATTGGCTCAAAGACAGAATAATATACATGATCAGCTGAATAGAGAAATCTATCTTACCTGACAGAGAAGTAGGAGGGGAGGAGATCAAGTAAGGGTGGGCAGATCAGGGAAGGTGGTAGGTAGGAACAAAACACTAGTGAGGAGGGAAAGGGTGAAGGGAGAGAGGGGACAAACAGGAGGAAGAATAGGAAGGAAGGAAATACACAGTTAGTAATCATAACTGTAAATGTGAATGGGATGAACTCTCCCATAAAATGGAACTAGGTAGCAGAGTGGATCAAAAACCAGAATCCTACAATATGTTGTTTACAAGAAACACATCTGAAGCAGAGAGACACACACAGAGTAAAGGTAAGGGGCTGGGGCAGAATTCATTAAGCTGAAGTAGAAAAAAGGAGGAGTAGCAATCCTGATCTCAGACGAAGTAAAAGCAAAAATAGACCTCATTAAAAGAGATAAGGAAGGATACTACATCTTGCTAAAAGGTACCATAGACAATGAAGCAATATCAATGCTAAACATATATGCACCAAGTGGTACAGCATCCAAATTCTTTGAGGAGAAGTTAAGTGTTACAGAAAGAAAATAGACAGCAAAATTATACTGGGGGGAACCTCAAGAGCCCTCTCTCAGAACTTGAGAAATCCAACAAAAAATAAACAAGAAACTAAGGAGGTAAATGGAGTATTAGAAAAGTTAGATATGATAGACCTATGGAATGGGAACAGAAAGGAATATACCATTTTCTTAGCAGCACATGGCACCTACACAAAAAGTGACCATGTAATAGGGTATAAAAATCTCAAAATCAAATGTAAAAAGGCAGAAATAGTAAATGTATTCTTTTTGGATCATAATGCAATAAAAATTACATTGAACAAAGGGCAGTGGAAATATGGATTAAAAATTAATTGGAAACTAAATAACCTAATCCTAAAGAATAAGTGGGTCAAAAAACAAATCACAGAAATAATCTTTGATTCACTTCACTTAAGGTACACAGGTACAAAAATGCAGTGATTGTGAGAGTATTGCCAAGGTTTGATTGATAATTTCAAGCTGCATTGTAAGGTTCTGACTCTCCAGCCAGAAGAGGCAATTCTGAAAAATCTAAATTATTAGTATTGTTACGGAAATCACAGAACTATTTCCTAAACTTCCAATAAGGTAATATTTGTAAAGTGCTTTGAAAGCATCAAAACACTATTAAATGCTAGTTATTATCAGTATTGTCATTATTATTCTATCCTCAGGCTTCAAAATCAGGTAGAAAATTCTGGCCCAGTCAATCAAGATAACATTTGATCCCTAAAGGAATTAATTTTCTAGGAGCAAGCTGACAGTGGGGTGTTATGGCCAAGGACAGCATGTTCTTAATGTTGAAGGAAGCAAGGACAAGTTTCTAACATTCAAATTTTACAGAGACACACGAATAATTCTGTAGAACACAATGTTCTGAATTACATTTGGAGTCTCTGCCAGTGTAGAAAAAAAGAACATAACTAATTATTAAAGAATCCTTGAAAAATGAGACTGGAAAAGATCTCAAAATCAATTAGTTATCATTTGGTCAAACTGGAACTTTTAAGCTACATGGAAGTCTCCAGAAAGCCTATTGTATCTTTTGGCACACCCAATAACAAAAAGAGATACTGGGAATGGAAGGCTAGTTAACAATGGCCTGTGGTGAGTGGTAGATACTATTAAGACTCTTCTGCTGCTGTATCCCCATTCTCAAACTTTTTACTTCTCCCAGTCCTCACATATGCCTTTACAGAAAATAACTGATGAATATTTTAATTATTATCTTGAATAAAGTCACAGGATCATAGATTCAAAGCTGTGGCGACCCCACAGCTTTAAGAAGCACTGAAAGGGTCATCAGAGGAAAAAGTTTAAGAAGCCCTGTAGTCCAACCCCCTCATTTTACAGATGAAGAAAGTGAGATTCAGGGAAATTAACTAACTTCCCTGAAGTGATAGAGGTGACTTGGCAGAACCAGGATTTGAATGGAGGTCCTCTCACATGAAATCCAGTGTTGTCCATGATACCACGTTGCATCCCAACTATGACCTCAGTGTCAATGATGAAGGGAAGTCCAGAGAAAGTAGGAAACTTAATGCATTGAGATGGGAGATTACAGAAAGAGATCAAAACAGGTAGGGAGTAAGAGTGAGAAGACAGGGAGCCAGGAAGCAAAGAACTAGAAGGGAAGGAAAAGCAGGATATTATATTGAAGAAGACAGCTTCCTTCTCCCATTCAAAACACTAGACCTACCCCACTTGCTTGGTGCTTCCAGCTCCTTACAGGGAATCATTCCCACATAACTTTTGGAGACATTAGATGGTGTTACTCTGACTTAATCTGTACACAATCTTATCAAATGATGGTCTGATGTAATCTTAACAGCCCACCCTTCCCCAAAACATTCTGAGGATCACAGGTCTTGAGGTAAAAGGATTTCAGGGACCATTCTAGTCTAATTCTCTTTTTGCAGATGAAGAATCTAGGGCCAAGAAAAATTATGTAACAGTGCCCAACTACTACACAAGCAGCAATTGTTGGAAACAGGAAACTTTTTCTTGTATTTTACTAGCCAATACTTCATTATTTTCTAATGCAGCTTAAAATACACCTAGTCAGTGTCTGTATGTGATGTCCCTCTTTATGATTAAAAAAGCAAAATAAAACAATTTTTGCTATATACGTAGACTATAATCTCCTCTCCCAGGCTCTTGAGTTTTCTTGTCCAGACCTGGGATCTTTACGGTATGGGGAACTTTGTAGATTAATAACAACACAGCCTTAAAGAATTGCCCCAGGCCACTGAGAGGTTAAAATGTGACTTGCTCAGGGTCACACAGCTAGTATAACTTTAACCCAGGTTTTCATGACTGCTACCCTGGATTTCTATCAACCATGCGACACTTTGTATTTCTTAGGCTAAAAAGCTGGGACTCTACCAACCTCTCAATAGGCTGTTTACTAGATTTGGGATCATTCTTGTGACTTTCTTAAATACCAATATATATATCACCTACAAGTCTAGTGACCAAAGGAGTGTCTGTTTTTAGTGATTAGCAAAGAGATGGGATGACTGTAAGTGCCATCCTGCAGGATTTTGTCAAAGCTTAGAATGCCCTTGGCTTTTCCATTAGTTACATGGCAGCATAAATCACATAAATGGTCATTCTACTATAGGAAACTTCAAACTGAGCTATATAGAAATGGCATTTTAAAAACAGAAAATACACTGACTTTGTAGTAACAATTCCATTTGTTACTTAGTAAATGTAATTTTTAATGAGCAGTTAGTGACCACATATGTAATACAGAAGTCTAACTATGAGCAAACATTTTGATTGGCAAATTTAGAATTAGAAAAGTTTCAATGAAAAAATAAGGGCCAAAGATGATCTTATTCATCTTTACATTACCCACAACACTTGGCAATGCCTTGCCCATGCTAGGCATTCAATAAATATTTGTTAGATGAATAAATGAACGAACGAATGACTCAACTAAAACTGTGAGATCCTGGAGGGAAGGGTTGGTTTTTTTTTTTTTTTGAATGGCTTTGTACCCTCAACACATAGCACAGTGCCTGGCACACAGTAAGCACTTAATAAATGCTTGTTGACTTGTCTTTGTGTGTGTGTGTATAAGCTCAACACACATATCTATACTTAGATATACATGTTTATGCATCTAGATGAATTTATATACCATATAGGCCTCTGCCACATACTGGCTGTGTGATCCTAGGACAGTCACTTAACCTCTTGGTGCTTTAGGTAACTATCTTAAGATTACATGTTACAGAGAAGGCATTGACCTTCATTAGTAAAAGGAATCTTCTCAGCCAGGAGTTGCTATACCAAAGAAATCATAAATCTAGTCCCTATTCCTATCTATATATGTATGTATGTGTGTGTGTGTGTGCGCGTGCGTGTATGTGTGTGTGTGTGTGTGTACATACATACTTGGTATTTTATATTTACTTTGAATTATACATTACTTATTTGCCTATAAATGAGACCTGATTTCAAATCCAGTCCCAGACACTAGCTATGTGATACTGGGCAAGTCACTTTACCTATTTAAATCACTCTCCTCATCTATAAAATGGGGAAAATAATAGCACCTACCTTGAAGGGTTGTTGTAAGAATCAAATGAGATAAAAATTGTAAAGCACTTAGCACAGTGCCTGGCACATAGTAGGTACTATATAAATGTTAGCTATTATTGTTGTTGTTGTTGTTTTTTATTTGTTTGTTTGTTTATTCCCTTTCGTCCTATCCCTCCTTGAGGTCAAGCACTATTTCATTTTTTGTATTTGGAGTTCTGGTATGTAGCACATAGCATGCAGTTAAACCCCTGTTGAATTTAATTTAATCCCTAATCCCAAAGCAGGCCCATTCTGCCTACTGTGAATGAACACTGCTTTGGTAATTTAGTGGATCTCAGAACTCACTGGTGTGAACCTCCTTCTACTGGTTCACATTGAAACTCAACCATGCTATGAGAACCCATCCTAGCTATTACTCTTTTCCAATAATTCCCCTGTCACCAATAGTTTCCCCTCTGTTTCTATTTCTCTAATCTTTCAATCTAACCTAGATTCAAAGCTCTGTTAGAAAATACATAATTAACTCTGCTAAGCACAGTGCTTATTGCATTGCTGATACTATTGAAAATCAGGGCATAAAGTTATCATATCATCTTTTTGATAGGTACCCTGCTGAGGGAGAATATTGAAGTGCTCTCTTCATTAAATCTTCCCCAAATTCAATGGTAGTTCCATCTTCTATGGTGATCTTTGTAGTCTTAAAAGGGAAAGTGTTAGGATTTGGAGCTCCTCCAGCCAAGGAAATGAGTGATGGTGGTGATTTCTGCATCAGTTCAGCTAGAGGAAACATGAAGAGGGGGTAAATGACAAAAAACCTTTATTCCAGGCTATCACTCTTCAACAAGCAAAGTACCCAACGTGTTACGACTTGTGAAATTGTTTCTTTCCCTCTTCAAGATATAGAAGGCTGAAAGGCCTCCTATCTTACTTCAATATATCACAAAACCTCAATTTCATTGGAAAGAGTGATCTTTCCACCAATGCTGAATAAGATCCCTGTACTCTTTGGTAATGGAATAATTGCCTTACCTGAGTTTGAATCCACTTGTAACATCATGTGATTATGGGCAAGTCACTTCTCCCTTCACATTTATGTGTCTCAGTTTCCTCATCTGTACCTGGAGTAGTTTAGTTTTCTCATTGATAACTCTAGTTCTTACTCCACGGGGTGGTTGTGAGGGTCAAATGAGACTGCATTAGTCAAATGCTAAATAACATCAGCTATTACTAGGTAGTCTTCAAAAATGGCCCATACTTTCAGCTTACCAATGAAATAATCGTGATCTGAAAATTGTGATCTCTTACTGGTTCACTTTTGACAATCTCCATTAACTCAAACACCACTGCTTACATGAGACCTTTCTTGATCTCCCTCTCACTGTCTTGAAATAATTTTGTATTGGTCTTTATTTACCATTAAATTTATTTTTATTTATATTTCTTTATTTACTTACTGTGTACATAGGATCATGGATCTAGAGCTGGAAGGGATATTTAAAGTCATCTAATTCAAACATTTCATTTTCCAGACAAGGCAAATGAGGCCCACAGAGACTAAGTAATTTGCTCAAGATCATAAAAACAGTGTGAGATTTTGTTTCCTCCCAGTAGATAGATACAATTTTCTTGAGGGCAGGGGCTTTCATTTTTGTTTTTATATATCCAGTACCTAGACTAGTTTCTCATATATGTAGCTTCATAAGTGTTTGTTCAATTGAACCAATCCTTTTTACCAGTCTTGATAAAAGTCTTCATTGTCTTGACCTAATTTATGTTTTCCCCTACCCCCCTTCTAAAGATGTGGAAACTCTAAGTGAGTGACCTGGATAAAATGTTTACAGCAGTGATCAGGAAGAGGAATAAAGATCTAGGATAATCAATTCATGATCAAGGAAACTAAATAATTGAGACTTGAATGTACTTGTCCAATTGTCAGAAACACCAGTGGAAAACGTCTGATAACAAAGAAACCATACTCACTCAATAGCCTTATTGGAGAAGGCTTTCTTGCAGCACTCACTGCTGTGAGGAATCGGGTGTAATTCATGTTTGTAAGGGTGATCAGAAAAGACAGTTCCTTCCTTCAGTGTGTTCAGGGCTGGAAAAACGAAACAGTGAACTTCCCAGTACAATAATGCCAAGTTAGGCTGACAGACTTTATTCTACACATAGCTGCCTGTCTGCTCAATTTGGTGTGGTGAAACAGCAATTGATAATTAATGCTCTTATAGTATTTTTATAACCTCTGGAGTAGGTGAAGCAATATGTGACCCAACTCCTAAATGATAAAGGAAGGAGATAACAGATGATCTCTCAAAGTAATTATACAGGAATAGTTATTTAAAACTATTTTGTTATCAAGTTATTTATTAAATATCAAAATAACTTTAAAAAATATTAACACTAATAGCTAGCATTTATAAGTTTTGCAAAACAATTACTTATGTTATCTCATTTGATTCTTATAACAAACCTGGGAGGTAGGTGCTATTATTATCCCCATTTTACAGTTTTAGGAACTGAAGCAGACAAGTGATTTGCTAAGAGTCACAGGGCTAGTGTCTGAGTCAAACTTTAAACTCAGGTCTTCCTCACTCCAAGTCCAAAACTTAACAACAACAACAACTACAAAAACCCTGCAAAAATAACAACCACTGTTTTTAAAATTCTATACGGGAACCGTGATTATTGTGGCCAACCTCAGGCAGTGACAAGGTGCTGGGGGGGGGGGTGGAAGTTGTATTTAAAGTCAGGGGAGGTGGGTTTGAATCCTGGTTCTGCTACCTTGTGTGATGCCAGGTAAGTCCCTTTAGGCCCACGAACTTTAGTTTCCCCAAATGTAAAACTCTGGGTTGAACTCGATGGCTGCTGAAGTTCCTTCTAGTTGCCAAAGCTGAGCCACAGACCTGCTCATGCAAGTCGGCTTCAATCTACAACGGGCATTTATTAGGCTCCTACAATGAACCAGGCACTGTGCTAAGCCCTGGGCATACAAAGAAAGGGAAACGTCCCTACCCTCCAGGAGCTCAAAACCCAACTGAGTAGACAACACTGGGCCTTTGTATCTTTTCACAGATACAAGTGTTTTTTCTGGACTGGCTGGAGTAGGGGGGCGGGGAGGGGAGGATGGAGGGGAAGCCCCTGCTTTCTGGAGCCAATCAGGTTGCCCCTCGGCTTCCTGCCTCTTCCCTTGGCACCGCCCCCAGCACGCCTCTTGGAGGGCCCTCTCACCTCCCCCGCCCCGCCCCCACCGCTGGCCAATGGCGTGCCGCCTTGGGCTCCCCTCCCCCTCAAGTAGTCACGTGCTAGGGGAACGCAACGTCCCCCTGGCGGCCCTGTGGAGTCGGGGACTAGGGTAAGGGGGGGTGGGCTGGGGGAGGATGTTCGGGCTTACCTTTGCTGCACTGCTCCCTCACCCAGCTAAGCGCAAGGGGGCAAGGGGCACCTCCTGCAGGAAGGGAGAGGGCGCGGACTGCCCGTCCGAGCCGAGTATGATTGAAAAGCAAAAAATTAAAAGGAGCCTTTACCTCTCTCCGGGAGCTCGCGGCCAGCAAAGGTTCTTCCTTCCCGAGGGAAGAGAGCTCGCAGTGGGACTTGGCAGCTTCGCGCGCGGATCCCCAGACTGAAGGAGGCTGCGGCCTCCCGGGAGGCGGGGGGAATGCCTTTCCAGGGGCTCGCCGCGGACGCTTTGTGATTCTTTCCTGCCATCTGCTGGTCGTGCTGGCGAACGGCATTCCCTGCAATTCATTTCAATTTTTCTAAGTTGCAGTTTTGCTCCTGTTGTGTTCAAAGGCCAATCTAGGCTCCGAGAATGCCGAGTACCAAAAAAAAAAAAAAAAAAAGCAAACCATGTTCTTACCTCATAGGTCTGACTTTCTACTGGAGAGAGAGGTGGGATCCACAGTGGAGGCAACAAGCATATATAAAGCGCCTACTATGAGACAGGCACTGTGTAGATAAGGAGGCTGGTGACTTGCACAGCCCTCCCTCACTTAAATCCAATTCACTTTCAAGTCAAGGCTTCACCTTCCTCGTAGTATGGTCCTCTTCGAGAATGAAGGACAAACACCAACAACAAATACTTTCCACTGAGGGGAGGGGGTTGGATTCAACCGGGGGAGGCAATAGTGGAGGCAACAAGCATATATCAAGCCCCCGCTGTGGGACAATCTGATGTTATAATTTCATCCAATCACACAGAAAGGATCTCTTTTCCTCTCCTCTTCTCTCCTTTCTTTTCCTTTCCTCTCCTCTTCCCTTTACTTCTGTTCTCTCCTTTTCTTCTGTAGGTAATAGGGAGTCACTGGAATTTATTAAGTAAGGGTGGATGACATGGTCATAAAGTACTGCACTTTAGGAAAATCACCTTGACTGCATAGTGGAAGATGGATTGGAGTAGGGAGACACTTGATTTGGGAGATAATAGGAAGGAGGAAAGGAAATAAACATTACAAATATCAATTCATTTGATCCTCACAATAACCTTGTGGGGTAGGTGCCATTATTGTTCCCATTTTACAGGTGAGAAATTACTTGACCAGAGTCACACAGCCAGTAAGTGTTTGAAACCAAATTTGATCTGAGACCAAATTTGAACTGAGGCCTTTCTGATTCTAGGCACAATGTGCTATCCACTGCACCACCTATGTGTTTGTATATAGTTTAGATGAGGGGTGATGAGGACTGGTGAAAGGGTATTGTATGAGTGGAGAGAAAGGGACGTGTAGAGAATTATTCTGAAAATAGAAATAATAATATTTGACAATAGATTAGATATGTGGGATGAGTAAGGAGTCAAGGATAATCAGGAGGCTGTGAAAGTGGGTGACTAGGAGAATGGTGGTACCCTTCATAGTAATAGAAAAAATTGGGAAGAAGCAGTACTGTGCTGGTAATTGTTTACCAATTGACTCTCTGAAAAGATATGCATACAGGATACACTTTTCAGTTTAACCTGCATTATTAACATTTTGTCCATGACCTTCTTAAGTCTAGAGAATCAACAAAACAATAAATCAATCTCTGATTTCTAGCATTTGCTGATTTCCTAAGTGTAAATATTCTCACCTTGAAAATTTAACAATTGGTTTTGACTCCAGCACAATTTGGAAAAAGGGAAGGTTTTTTAAAATTAAAAAAAAATTTTAAATTTTTTGGCAGGGGGAAGATAATAAGTCTCGGACTCTGTCTTAGTTTTGCATGAATGAAAGGGGATTTAACATTTGTGTCTGTATCTAGTGTCATCAGGATGCCTAAGGAAACAAAAGGTCATTTCTGAGAGGATGGCATAAGTGATGAGTGGGCAAGAGTGCCTTTAGAAATGCAAGAAAGTGGAAGCTGTAGTTTGCCCCAGAAAAGTAATCTGAAACTATTACTTATGTTTCCATTCTGTTCCCTTTCTGAAAATGCCTATTTTCCTATGTTTGACTCTCTTTCTCTGTCTTCCCCTGCCCTATCTCTCTCATTCATCCATTGTGGGAAATATTTCAGAAGGTTAGAAAAATCAAAAAATGGAAATTTTAAAGAGTTAAAAAAAATTGATGAATGAGAAAGTCCAACACCGGAATCTCAACATAGCATGAGACGGGATGAACTTGACTTTCTGCAAACTTTGGCAGGTCCACACTGAGTAAGTACAGTCCCAGTGATATATATTAATGGAATTATAGTGCCAATGATATATATTCGTGGTTTGATGACCCGATAAGCCAAGCACAGGGGAATTCATTAATTAGGCAGTGTATTTTTAGCCATAGTCAGTTAAAGAGACACTCTAGTATAGAAAAGTTTTCATCTGCATATATGGAGAGAAGCTGCATATTCAGGAAATCACAGATCCTTGAAGTCCTGAAGAAGTACAGTATATTGAAGTATAAATTGTGAAATTTAAGCCACAAACCATTGGGGTTTCACTATGTTTGTTCCTGTCCCTTAGTAGGTAATTAAATTGATTGTGACTTGTATTTTCTGTTTTGTAAGCATTTTATTTATAAATTCTACTGCAGGTCAAATACCAATGCAAATTAAACATGATGCAATATTTGAATGTGGAAAAAGCTCAGGCACTTAACAAACTGAGACATCAGAAAGTGTTTCTTCACCACATGAAAAGCTGGCCTTGTATTCTGCCTTGTTTTCTTAAGTCAGAAAAATGTTTGGAGTATTTAGAAAAAGAAGGTCAGGCAATTGATTATAAGTAATTTTTCAAATGTCCAGTATTAATAGCTTAATATTAGTTACTTACTAACAAGGTCTGAGGGGCAACTAAGTGGTACATTGGATAGAGCTCTGGTCCTGGAGTTAGGAAGACCTGAATTCAAATTCAATTTCAGACATTTACTAGCTGTATGAACCTGGGCAAGTCACTTAACCCTGTTTGTCTCCATTTCCTCATCTGTAAAATAAGCTGGAGAAGGAAATGGCAAAGTACCTCAGTATCTTTGTCAAGAAAACCCTAAATGCAAAAAGCAAATCAAAAGGGGGCAGTCAAAATGGAAGAGAGAAGCCAGGAAATTGCCTGAGCTCTCCTGTTACCTTCAGAAACAATGTTAAATCAAGCCTCTAAATGGATTCTAGAGCACCAGAACCTACAAAAAGACAGAGTGAAACAAAGACTTCAGGAAAGATCTGTCTCACTTGAGTAAAAGGGGAGCCCAGCCCAGCACAGGGGTGTGTGGGCCAACTAGCAGGAGGCTCTTAGCCACAGCACAGATCAGTAACAGAGGCCACTCTGTTCTGACTCAGCAGGCTAGTGGGACAGCAAGCCAGCTGTGAGGCCTCTAGCCCCAGCACAGAAGGCAAATTGCCAGCTCTGGAACCCTGGCACAATTGGTGTGACTAGGCTAGACCACCCCAGCACAGTAGGCAAGCTGCCAGCACCTGAGGCTCCAGTGCAGAAAGCCAGTGATCAGGCCCCTGGACCCCAGCACAAGAAGCTTGGGACAGTGTACCTGTATCCAAGGAGTAGAAATCAACTTTTAAAAAAGAGCCTTGACCACAGAAAGCTATTAGGCAACAGGGAAGATCAAAACACAAACTCAGAAGACAACAATGTCAAGCCTCATATGAAGCCTCAAAGGGGAATATGAATTGATCTCAAGCCCAAAAAGTCCTCTTGGAAGAGCTCAGAAAGGATTTTAAAAATCAAGTAAGAGAGTTGGAAGAAAAATTGGGAAAAGAAATGGGAGTTATGCAAGATAATTATGAAAAAAAAGAGTCAACAGCTTGGAAAAGGAAGCAGAAAAACTGACTGAAGAAAACAACTCCTTTAAAAGTAGAATTGACCAAATGGAAAAGGAGGTCCAAAAGCTAACTGAAGAAAAAATTCCTTAAAAACTAGAATTGGGCAAGAGGAAGCTAATGACTCTATGATACATAAAGAATCAGTCAAACAAAATCAAAAGAATGAAAAAAAAGTAGAGGGAAATGTAAAGTATCTCATTAGAAAAACAGCTGCCCTGAAAAATAGATCCAGGAGAGATAATTTCAGAATTATGGGACTACCTGAAAGCCATGATCAAAAAAAGAGCCTGGACAGCAGCATCTTTCAAGAAATTATCAAGGAAAACTTGCCCTGATGTCCTAGAACCGGAGGGCAAAATAGTCACTGAAAGAATCCACCAATCACCTCCCAAAAGAGATTGCAAAATGAAAAGTCCAAGGAATATTGTAGCAAAATTCCAGAATTATCAGGTCAAGGAGAAAATACTGCAAGCAGCTAGAAAGAAACAATTAAAATACCAAAGAACCACAGTCAAAATTACACAGAACTTAGAAGCTTCTACATTAAAGTCTTTAAATATGATATTCTGGAAAGCAAAGGAACTTGGATTACAAGCAAGAATCAACTACCCAGCAAAATTGAACATAATCTTTCAGGGGAGGAGATGGATATTCAATGAAATAGGGGACTTTCAAACTTCAAACTTCCCTGATGAAAAAAATCACAGCTGAACAGAAAATTAGATCTTCAAATATAAGACTCAAGAGAAGCAAAAAAAAAGGTAAACAAGAAAGAAAAAAAGAACACGTTATTCAACAAGGTTAAACTGTTTACATTTCTACATGGGAAGATGATACTTGTAACTTGAGAACTGTATCTTTATTATGACATTTAGAAGGGGTGTACAAAGACAGAGGGTGTGGATATAAGTTGACTTTGCTCTGATGATATAAAAAAAATTAAGGGATGAGCAAAAGGATTTTACTGGAAGAAGAGCAAAGTGGGGAGGCAGAATAAAGTAAATTACATCACATGAAGAGGCACAAAAGGCCTATTGCAGTAGAGGGAAAGAAGGGAGGAGGTAAGCATTGTCTGAACCTTACTCTCATTGGATTTGGCTCGAGGGAATAACATACACAAACAGCTGGGTAAAGAAATTTATTCAACTCTATAGGGAAGTAGGAGGGGAAAGAGAAAAGAAAAGTGGGGGACTGATAGGAAGGAGGGCAGATTGAAGGAGGCAGTGGTCAGAAGCAAAACACTGGTGAGGAGGGATAGGGTGAAAGGAGAGAGAAAATTATAAACAGAGGGGAAAATAGGATGGAGGAAAACACATAGTAATCATAACTGTGAATGTGAATAGGATGATCTTTCTCATAAAATGGAAGCAGATAGCAGGGTGAATTAAAAACCAGAATCCTACAAT